ACTGTTGCTGAATTTCAAGAAATGGGATAGACAAAGAATGATTTTTATAACTACTTCAGGGCAGATCTCATATTCAGGAGTACTTGACCAACAAATATTGAAATCCACAGGTACTTTCTGGTTTGTTTGTTTGCTTGCTTTATTTTGTTGTTGTTGCTGGTGGTGGTGGTGCTGGTAGAAATGGCTGTGGTTGTGGTGTTTGTTGTGCTTATGTGTCTGCGTGCATGTTTTTATTTGGTTACAGTTCAGTGGTTTTTTTTTCAGATAATGATATATGTTGTGTTGGGTTTTTTATTTGCCTTTTTGAGGAAGAATTTAAACAACGTCTTAGAATTCTAAAAGGTCAGGGTTAAAATGGCTTAGAATACAACATGTTACATGTTTCATTCAAGAACTGGGAAACAATCTGAGAAATGACACATCTTAGAAGAGCCATGTGCTAGCTACCATCTCCTGTATTATTTTTAGCTAGCTCACATAATAACTGACAACATTTCAATACAGCAAACTCAAGCATGACATTCAAAGTGCATTAGTGTCATGATGTTATAATGTCAGGCTGGTTCCTGGGTGTACACTACCATTTCAGGATCATGCAGCTGTCAAAGGGCAAGAGTCAGGGACCAGCTACTTAAATGTGAATTGCTCTTCAAGCTGCCAATGGTAAGAGCAGACTGTAATGGAAAAATTCTTCATTTCAGAAATTAACGATCTCTAGGAAGAAGCATTTTCAAAGCGTCACTTAAGATGTCGGGAGCTTTTCATTACTCCATAGGTTTTACCATCCTATACAAAGTGTACTGCCCCAGGAAGGTGTCCTAGAGGCTTTACATTTCAACTCAACTTTACCAAACTTGGTACTTTTATACTTAATCCCCAAACAAATAGTAAGCAAAGTGATTTCTTTTATTTCTTTTATTTTTCATATGCATAAGTATAAATGCGAGTATATCACCACCATCAGACATCATAATTGGGGATATTGCATGCAATTCCATAGCTTCTTCTCTAACAGACTGTATCATTGAAAAGAGGTCAAGCTCAGTTACACATTTTGAAACTTGAAAATGTGAGTTTAAATACACTACTTGAATGCCAAAAATTAACTTGTCATCGAATGAGAAGATTAAACGGAAAGAAAAAGATGCCCAACTGATAATTTATGTGATCTAATTCATAAATTAAGTAGAGTGTGCATTATTGCAACTTCATTACCATTCTTGAGAGGCTAATTTCATATAACCACACAGCTATACTGATCAACAGTTTTAATTCTTACTCAGACAGAACACATTCTTGAGAATAGCTCATGTTTTACTTGAATTACTTTTATATTAAGATTGGAAGAGGATTGCTCTTCAATTGAAAGTGTTGGATATTGGGAAGGGAGCATATATTAATTAGGTTTCTGTTGCTGTGATAAAACTGGAAGAGAGTACTTTGCTCATGGTTCTAGAGGGATAAGAATCCATCACGGTGGAGAAGCATGACAGCAAGCAATAGGCATGATGTCAGGAGAGAGAAGCTAAACGCTCACATCTTCAAGTGCAAGAATGAAGCAGAGAAGGTAAGCTGAGACCAGCCACACTTTGGTAGCCTGGTCTTTCAAGGAGCCAGAGAGAGAGGGGAGAGAGAGAGAGAGATTCAGAGAGAGAGAGAAGGAAACAGAGAGAGAGAGAGAGAGAGAGAGAGAGAGAGAGAGAGAGAGAGAGAGGCAGATTCAGAGAGAGAGAGAGAGATTCAGTTAGATGAACTAATTTTGTGTGAAATTCCTAAGTCATATTCCACATGCTGAAGAAAAGACTGAGAGAAACAAATGTTTAGTACTTTCAACATTTATAGCACAAACATTTTCTGTCTTTTTCCAGACTAGCAAAGTGGGGGAGATACTTCACACATACAAAAGGATAGTCGTCTTTGGCATCCTTGCTAAGAGATCATTGAAAAATATTTTATCTTATTTGTTTATGGTGATTTAAAATATTTTATTTAATGTTTATACACCCATATAAAGTCTTTGGACCCAATCCATCCCATCCTTTCCCTGCCAATTCAACCCTTATCCTAAATATTTTACTCTCCCAAATTTATTGGTACTCTCTCTCTAATTTAGTACTCACTCCATCTACTTAGTGAGGCCTGCAAAGTCATGGGAACATGAGCATTTTCTTGAGCAATAGTAGAATTTCAGGGTTTACATTCCTGGAGAAAACTGACTAACCCTGTCATAGTTTGAAAGCAAAATGCTACCCTCCCCCAAAAGGGCTTGCATATTTGGCACTTTTTTTTTAAAACCTCACATGTTGTCCTCACAAGAAAATGTAAAAAAGCTTATATTTGTTCTCCATTGTTATTCAAGTCATGTTACAACTTGAATGTTGAATTTTTATTTCTCTTCTTTTCCTCTCTGTCTCTGTCTCTGTCTCTGTCTCTCTCTCTCTTTTTCTGTGTGTGTGTGTGTGTGTGTGTGTGTATGTATGTAGTGGGTATATAAATAAATATATATATATGTATATGCATGTTTGTATGTGTGTTAGCACATATATAAAGATGCACACACATAGATTGTGTGTGTTTGTGTGTGTGTGAATACATATAGAGACCCAAGTTTGAAGGACCTAATGTTTTTATTTCCTGAGATAACATCATTCAAACACAGAGCTTTCTTATAGCTAGACTTGAGTATACATCTTGCTCCAGGGATTCCATGTTTGTCTTCCTAAGATGGGTTAACATAACTAACACACAATTAAGTGTATTTTGGTGAGCCAAACTCTGTATTTCAAGACACTTTATCAACATAATCATCCCTCCAGCCAGATTTTTAAACATTTGTAGTTAAATGTATTTTCTGTAATTGAAAGATAGAACACATGTTTTTGTTGTTGTTGTTTGCAAGGACATCTCTGTTGATGTTGCTGCCCATGAATCCTCACAGAATCTTTCCAGAGCTCCTCTTCTCTTTTCCACACTGAGACACATCTCCTTCTAGGAGAGCAGCACAGAGTCCCCAACCCACTAATTTCCATTGCACCTTTCAAATAACTCAGATAGTCTTAAATTGCCATATTTTGTTCTTTTAAAAGTTTCTGGTTTCTCATTTCTGTTAATATTTGTAGATCTTTTTCTTATTTACTAGATTTTTTCATTTTTTAATTTAAATTAGAAATAAGCATGCTTCAAATGTCAATCCCAGCTCCCTCCCTTTCTCCCTCACAGCCTCACCCCACCCCCACCCCCAGCCCAATCCCCACATCTTTCCCCAGGGAGGGTGAGGCCCTTCTTGAGGGGATCTCCAGAGTCTGTCATTTCATCCAGGGCAGGACCTAGGCCCTTCCCCATGTGTCCAGGATGAGAGAGCATCCCTCCAAGTTGAATGGGCTCTTAAAGTTCATTTGTATGTCATGGTGAACACTGATCTGCTACCCAAGGCCCCAGAGATTTCTGACATCTCCTCACTGACACTGCATTCATAGAGTTTGGATCAGTCCCCTATTGGCCTCTTAGCCATCAGTCTGGGGTTCAAGAGCTCCCCCTTGTCCAGTCAGCTGTCTTTGTGGGTTCACCAGCATGGTCTTGACCCTTTTGCTCATCACTCCTCCATCTCTGTCACTGGATTCATGAGCTTATATATTCAGTTGTCTCTGATATTGACCTCTATTGCTCATATACCACGGGTTCCAGAAAATTGGGAAACAGTCTACCTCAAAATTCTTGGGCATATACCCAAAGGATACTCAATCATACCACAAAGACACTTGCTCAACAATATTCATAGCATCATTGTTCATAATAGCCAGAACCTGGCAACAACCTAGAGTCCCCCCAACTGAAGAATGGATAAAGAAAAATGTGGTACATTTACATAATGGAGTATTACTCAACTGTGAAAAACAATGGCATCATGTAATTTTCAGGCAAATGGATGGAAGTAGAAAATAAAATCCTGAATGAGGTAACCCAGACTCAGAAAGACAATCATGGTATGTGCTCACTCCTAAGTGGATATTATATATAGAGTAAAGGATAACCAGACCACAATCCACAGCTCCATGGAAGCTAGGTAACATGGAAAACCATAAGAGGGACACATGGATTGCCCTGGGAAGGGAAATTAGATGAGATCTCCTGAGATAACTGGGGGAAGGGGGTGGGCAAATGAGAAGGGATGGGGGATGAGAACATGAGGGAGAGGGATGGTCAAGGGGGAAGGGACAGAGAAGGAAAGAGATACCTTAATAGAGAGAATCAGCATGTGGGTTAGAGGGAAACCTGGTACTAGCTAGCTAAGACTCCTAGCAATAGTGGAGAGTGTGCCTGAACTGGCCTTCTCTGATTTCAGATTGGTGAATGCCCCAACTATCACCATAGAGCCTTCATCCAGTAATTGATTGATCCACAGCCAAGCACAAGGCCAAACTCTAGGCATCCAGTCTAAGAGAGATGAGGCTATGTTTTCAGTAATGAAAACATGGCTATGTTTTCAGTAATCAACCTGAGTATTTTCAACATCCCAAATTTGTTCCCCTGACACATCCACTCACATGCTAGAGTCTTTGCATGGTTCTGCTAACAAATACCCCATCTACATTTGAAATAGGCATCTCTGAAGATTCTGCCTCTGCCTTTTATTCTGTCATACTTATCACTATTATCTCACTTTTCCATCCATCTAGAAATTTAGCCACCTATTACATGTCTTGGAGTCACCCTTCCATCATAATAGCTCTTTTCAGTTATTTTTACTATCATTTTGACACTTCTTATGAACAAGGAAGACAGTATGATATACAGGTGGACCTATTAGCTAGCCAGAATAGAGGTTCCTTTTTATATCATAGTAAAAAGAAAGCTTCTAAGGTAACTAATTTTTTGAAGATCAAGATTCCTAGTGTGCAGCAGAAAATAGTATGGGGTCTGTTACAGCAGAAGGATGTAGCTGGAGCTGAGGGAACCCAATCTTCCTTTCTCCCTCCCTTTATTTCATTCATTCTTTCTTGCAGGAAAAAGTATAAATGCAGTCCCATACTACTTCAAATTATGCAGTAGAGTTTCCCACATTTGGGTAAATCACATGGGGCTGTACATTCACAATGCTGTGGATGAGGCTGGCCCTGGGGAAACCACTTGCTTGATTGTAGTATTCACCTTCTATATCAGTGGTTCCAAATACATTTTAATGGGCAACAGGAATCGATAACCATTCCCCAAAGGGAGACAGTTATCCTTATTCTGTCAGTAATGAGAGCTTCTCAGGGATCTTGAGAGGACCACTGCTCCTCCCCCAAGGCTGTTCATCACATCAGAACCTTTTAAGATAGTCTAAAACAGAGGTGTCCATATTTGCTCTCAAATGACACGGAAACATAGAAGCCCAAGACCTCTGTCTCATAGTGGAGTTGTAAGGTGAACATTAATGCAGTTTTCTGTGAAGATAAATTACACTCACACATCCACAACTATCAAATCTTCCTGGAGCACAAGACATGGGTTGTGTTGAGGGACACACAACCAGCATAAGCTGTCCATCTGGACCTCTGCTCTAGGCAAAGACACTTTCAGTTTCACTGTAGATTACTACTTATACAGAAAAATAATCAGACTCAGATATAAAAATTTCAATAAATAAAGTAGAAGACCTATGCTCCAAACAAGGTCTATTTACACCCTCTCATTGGTGACCCATCATGTTGAAGTGTAACTGGCTATATAAATGAATGGTCCCTTCATTGAATCCTGGAAAGGTACGGGAAGGAGAGAGAGACCAGCTAGAATCAGGAAGTCCTTTCACTGACCTTAGTGCATTAAATCTGACTTTGAATTGCACTTGCCTTGCTTTAGTGCCTTTTATTCTATTTCTCAACTGCTTACAAGTTCTCTGCAGTGCCATATAAAACATTAGAAATAATTTTAATCAATTACTGTTAAAGATATCTCAAAGCATTCAAATGCTCTTTAATAAAAGATAAATTTTAAAGCTTGCACTGACAGGAAAAATATATTAACTTCCAATATTTATTACAGATTATTAAAATTAATGTTAGGAAATTTCATTTTAATTATCACCATCTTGCATTAACATAAATATAAATATGCATCTCTGTTGAAATCATATTCCTGCTTATTTAAATATAGAAAAGTTAATTTTCGTGAGACTTTCACAATGCTGAAATCATCTCAAAAAGTTAGGGACTTTATGATATTGAAGAGCAAAAATTAAATATATTATGCTGTAAGGAATCTTATTAATATAATTAATACAGTCTTCAGATTATAGCACATGGCAATAGATCATATATTTAGAGATATGTCAAAAAAAGAAATGCCATTTAATTCTTTGATTTAATGTTGATACACAGAAATAAAATAATTGAAGCATTCAAGAATATATTTCACAAATCAACACTGTCCTAAAATCATGATTTTTTAACTTCAGGAGGTGTATAATTTGCCTTATCTTGTCAATTTGCTTTAGACTTGGGAACTTGGGATATAGAATCAGAGGAGTTCATATAGCTCAATCATGGTAGTTGAATGACTGGCCAAGGAAATGTCTGATCTTTTGTTTGTTGTTTTTTGTATTATTTCATTTCACATTTATGTAGGTTGTATATTATTTTTCTTTCAGTGGCTTTTCAGGATTTTGTTAGTTTGTTTGTTTGATTTGTATTTTTCAAGACAGGGTTTCTCTGTAGCTTTGTATCCTGTCCTGGAACTCACTCTGTAGACCAGGCTGGCCTCAAACTCACAGAGATCTGCCTGTCTCTGCCTCCCAAGTGCTAATTCACCTATGAAAGCCTCATCAATCAGTAAGGTAAAAACTTCCCTTACTCAAAATTTTGATTGGCCATTTGCTTGTCCATTGTAGAGAGTGATAAGTTTGGGGGTTTTTGTTTGTTTTTAATTGCATGAGCTTTTTTCTCTTTTGTATATTATAGTTTTATATCCTGACCACAGTTTCCCCTCCCTTCTCTCCTCCAAGTCCCTCTCCAAAGTGCTTCCGCCATCCACTCCTCCCTCACTTCTCTTCAGAAAAGCACAGGACTCCTATGGATAGCTGGTGCCAGTAAAACTAGTCACCGCCTTTCCTATTAAGGTTTGATGAGGCAACTCCATAAGAGGAAAGGGTCTCAAAGGAAAGTAACTGAGTCAGAGATATCCCCTGCTTCCGCTGTTAGGAGGCCCACAAAAGACCAAGCTACACAATCACAACATACACGCAGAGGGCCTTATCAGTTCCATGCAGTCTTTCTGGTTGTTGGTTCACTCTCTGTGAGCCTCTACAAGCCCAGGTTAGTTGTTTCTGTTTTTTTTTTTGTGATGTCCTTGACACTTCTGGCTCCTAAAATCCTTCCTCACCCTATTCCACAGGATTCCCCAACTCTGCCTGATGTTGGCTGTGGGTTGCATTTGTTTCTATCAGTTGATGGATGAAGCCTTTCTGGTGACAATTGGGCTAGGTACCAATCTATGAGTGTAGCAGAATATAATTTGGAATGTTTTCATTGAGTTTTTTGCCAGTAGAGTTTGGTTCTTTCCTTGGGTCTCTGGACTATCCCGCCTCTCAACCCTGGAACTCATGGCATTGTTCTCAAGATGGACCAGTCATTGGTTGTCATGGCCACAATTTCTTCATCACCTTTTATACCAGCTCAACTTATAGGTAGGACAAATTGTATGTTTTAAGCTTTTTTTGCTGGATTTGTGTCTCAGTCCCTCCATTGGAAGTCTTGCCAGTTCAGGGTCTATATCTGCCATTATTAGGAGTCTTAGCTAGGGTCCTCCTCATAGATTCCTGCACTGGGTTTCTATCTAGTTCCTGAGATACTCTCCCAATTCCAGTTGTGTTTTAAAGCACTTTCTTCCTCCATCCTCTCTCTACCTGATCTCTCTGGTTCTGGTTCCCTCTTCCCCACTTCCCCATCCACAATGTCTATTCTTCTTACCTTCCCAGTGATATCCATGTGTTCCCCCTTGAGCCCTCCTTGTTACCTAGCCTCTCTGTTTCTGTGAATTGTACTATGGTTATTTTTTTCTTTGCAATTAATATCCATTTATAAGTAAGTGCATACTGTCTGTCTTTCTGGGTGTGGGTTACCTCACTTTGGAAGACTTTTTTTCTAGTTCCATCCTTTTAACTTCAGATTTCAGGATGTATTTTTTTAACTTGAAGGACGTCTAGGTTGTTTCTAGTTTCTCGTTGTATCACACATAAAGCTGCTATGACCATAGTTGAATAAGTATCATTCTGGTATGATAGGGCATTGCAATATTAGATTCTTAACAGCTCCTCCAGTAACATCAAAAGGCTTCTTACTTTTACAGTTAATGAATTCAAATGGGTTTCTACCCTTACTTAAGAAACTAGTAGTGCAATGAGTGATAGCTTATAAAGACATAACTATGGTGAGACCAAATTTTATAAAAAAGAGGGCATGTCAAAATAGGAAACTAGCACATCATATGCTCTATGAAATAGCACAATAGAATTGAGTTCCTTAGTGCACCACTTGTGAATATAATCCAAGCACTATGATAAAGATGCATCGTGCTATATTTATTCAGTGTTTTCAGCTTTTCAAAGGAATCTATGTACTGAAGAAGCTGGTATTGTTTCCTCCCATATTGTAGATTAAGAAGGTAAGATAGACACAGATGAGCAGTTTACCAGCATGTCTAGATCTGGTAATTAATTGCCTTAACACATCCATAGTCAGGACCTTTTGGTATTCATCAGCCTTCAGGTGAAGGTCTGTATCTCCAAATGGTGGTGAATAAAATCACCAAGATTGCAGCTCTTTACAAGTGTAATATATCATCTTAAACTACTTTTGAATATATTTGTTACTAATGGAATAGCCAAATGTTCTTTGTCATTATTGTGTAACCTTCTATGGGAATCTTTCTTGTCTTTTACTTTTTTCTATATTTAAAGCAGTTTTAATGTTACATGACAGATAAACTTTCTTGGATTTACTTAGTAAAGCCTTGTTCCAACCAGAAGCATGGCTATCCTCCAATTGTTTTGTGATTGCAGTCTTCCCCACATTTTTGTGACCATCCATGTTCATATGTCACAGGGAAGCTCTCCGTGCTGAGTCTTGGTGCTGAATCCGTCTTTCCTTGGTGACAATTTCCCTGAGCTTTGATCAAGAGACATGGAGCTGCAGTTACAATATGAAGACTTAAAAACTGAGGACTTAAAACAGAATAAGAGAAGTCCTTTCTCTAGGGGCTTTTTTGAATCCTCCACCATCTCATTCAGGTATACAGTAAGGACTGAGAGGCAAAGAACTCACTTTTCAGGACTCTTGCCAAGAAAGAATAGATGCCTTACACTCTTAACTCTGTTTGGCATGTTCAAACTTATCTTAGAGAGAGTCCAGCCATGCCAAGTTATCACCCTATTATCCCTATAATTCTCTTATGAATGCATATCTGTGCCTTCAAAATTCATAATCTGAAATCCTAATCCTAAATCTTGTAGAGTACAGGGCTTTTATTGGTAACTAGGTAGTGAGTGTGGAAACGCCATGAATGAAATCTCTGCTATCATAAAAAGAGGCAGAGGAGAGCACATGTCCCTCTTCCATTGATGACACAATAAGACTGTCATGTAAAAGCAGGACGTAGGCTCTCACCAAACACTGCATCTGTCTGCACCTAGACCATGAACTTTCCAGACACTAGATCTACTACAAACAATGATTTTCACTTAAGTCAGCTAGTCTGCCTTTTTATTCCTAGAAGCCTGGTCTAATGCAGGTCTCCAATATCACAACTGTTAATGTTTACATAGTATTTTTTTTCTATTTCATATGTGTATATTATTATGTTTATGTGTATTGACAAGTGTGGGGTACACACGTTTGTAGTTCCTTGTGGACATGTATAACACTGAGGCCCAAAGTTGACATCAGGCATCATCCTATATTACTCCTCTACCTTATTCATTGAAATAGACCCTCACACTCACAGCAAAAATCTATTAATATGGATAGTCTCACTAGCCAGTTTTCTCTGTGGTTCATGTGTGTCTACTTTCTGATGCTGGAATTACCACATCCACATGAAAATAGAAGAGTTCTTGGAGGTCAAGCTTGCATGGCAAATACTTAACACCTCCTATGACCTGTTTATTTTTATACTCCATAATAATATTC